CAAAGATAAAGAGCCCATTTTTGAGGTAGAAACCTATACAAATGCTAATTGGGCAAGCGATATTATTGATAGAGATCGATCTCTGGATATTGTACCTTCATAAGAGGTAATCTGATTACTTACAGAAGCAAAAAATACAGTGCTGTTTCGAGAAGTAGTGATGAAGCTGAATTCTAGAGCGTTGCGCATTGCTTTGGTGAGGCATTGTAGATAAAAAAACTTCTAGAAAAATTAAAGGTTCCTACTCCAATGCCTATTAAAACCAATTGTAAAAATAAAGCTACAATTTATATAGCACAAAACTGTCATCTACCCGACAGAAAGAATCATGTAGAAGTAGACAAACACTTCATCAATGAGAAAATTGATTTTGGTGTGATTGGCATGACCTACATACCCACTGACAGTGGCGGATGTAGTGTGGGGGGCCATGGGGGGCACCAGCCCCCCACTGATTTTGGAAATAAGCAATAATTAATAGTAATTATGATACATAAAAAAAAAAGTAATTATGATACATTAAGTACATACTAATTAAGTTATTTTTTACTTTTTCATCACAATATATTATATTCCTTCCTTAATCTTTCCTTATTTCGTAAACACAGTGACGCTCCAAGGCACGCGAAATTCACCTGCTCGGAGTCGTCGTTCCAACCCCGCTGTCGGCCGCCCATTCACCGTCATCCTAGCCCGAATGTCGCTGAGCTATCGTCTGTCGCCCTCTTTCGAGCCTGAACGACGGAGCGTTGGATATGGTAGCGTTCCCATTTTCATTTTGGATTTTCCTCTGTTTTTTGTTTATGAAGATCCAGTGACAATTCTTTTGGCTTCAGTTGCTCTCTTGCTCTGAACGCCTCAATCTTTTGATTTATCGTCTTTTTACACTGTTGCCGGCTTTTTGTGTTCCTGCTCCTATTTCTGTATCTCTTCTTCTGTTTCTTGAGATTTAGTTGGATGCTTGATTTCCATTACTTGATCAGTTATCTCTAATTGAGGTTTTCCATCCTGTTGATGAAGTTCTCTTGGCTCTAGGCACTAACAATTTTTCAGTCTTACGTTTATCATATGGCAGCTCTTTTATATGATTCTTTTTTCTTGTGATCATTCCTCTTGATGCATCTCTCTCTGCTTTTTCTTTTGATTTTTGTTGTTTTCCCTCTTCCTTAACTCGTTGAGATGGTTTCTCCGTAGGCTTCTTAAGGCGTTGTTTAATTTTTTCCTCTTTCTGATGGTCTTCTTAAGACCCTTCCTTTATTTTAAGTGACGACCTATTAAAAAAAAGGCTATTTTCTATGTCAGTGCTCGTTAACGATATATTTCAAATTCAGGTTGCTAACAAGAATAGTGTACATAAAAAATGAAGACTTGACTAGAGAAATTATAAAATATAGATAAGAAAAATATCAAGATTAATATGCTCAATTGTAAGTTTTTTGTTTTATTATATATTTTATATTTTTATAATGGTTATAATGATTTTAAAAAAAAATTAAAACCATCAATGTCGGTCCCAAGTCCGGATGAAAAAGGTTGAGGTTTTTTTTTAACTTCAATATTTTGTGCCCCCACATGAACAAAATTCTTGCTCCGCCCCTGCCCACTGAATCAGATTACTTATATTCTCACCAAAGAACTTCCTAAACCACAATTTGAATATCTATTTTGCAAGCTCTTCACAAATAACATATTCATGCAAGCTCGAAGAGTGTTGAATTTTCTGCATCCATCTCCTTCTGCACTTCCATCATGAGGTCTCACCTACTGTAGGGATCGACCTCTAGTATGTGCCCATAATTCCTAGATCACAAATGCTAACGATGTAATTCCCAAATATCTAAGTTAATTTTGTCATAACTTACAATTTGCTAACAATGACATGCATGCTACAAGATGTGAGAGTCCCTACGCATTGTCATTCAAGATATGGTTGAGTAACAATACTTAGCCTAAGGTTTGATCGTAGGCGAAGGTATTGGGCACAAAATGAATGCTCTTACATGCATTTGAGGGGTTGTCGGATACAAATCCGGCCACCCTACGCATATGGCATGCCTCTTTGGCTCTCACAAAAGAGCAAACAAACGGAAATCACCGGATTTCCGCTGTTTTACGGAGAGGACAGCGCACAAAGGTTTTGGGGATGCAAGCAAAAGAAGTTTCTAAGGGACCTATGGCTTGGGGGCGTCATCCACACATCAATGGCCTTGGGGGACCCTAGGTTTCACTAAGTTTCAGTGTTTTACCTTCCCCGGTTTGTCCTAGCGCTCCAATCCAAGTTCCGGATCGTTGTCCAAGCTCCTAGGTTGCTGTCCAAGCTCCTTTGAAAGCTTCAAGTTGCTGTCCCAGGTTTTCCCTAGGAGGAAGACTGCTGTCCCAATGTTCCGAACAGAAGATTTCACTGTTTGAGAGCTTCCGGTGGTCGTCGTCTGCTGTCCAAAGCTTCCCAACAGAGAATTTTACTGTTTGAGGGCTTCCGGAGGTCGCATGGTTGTTGTCCAAGCACTCCAAAGTCTCCCAAGCACTATTTAGAAGCTTCCAACAGCCTCCAACCTGCTGTCCAGGGCATTTCGAAGGACAAATTTGCTGTAAAAATGCTCCCGGAAATGGATTTTGCCAGCAAGAAGTTGTTGGAACCAGTTTGGAAGGAAGTAGAGCCCTTTCTACCTCCTCCTTGAGGCAGCAGAAGAGAACTACCGCAGTTCTTTGCTCCAGCTTATGGGAGAGGGAGGAGAAAGACAGCAGAAGACTTTCACCTCAAATCTGGATGCAAGAAGATCTCTACACGCAGGAGGAAGAGATGCCCTTGATTTAGATTTCAGATTTAGGTATTTGATTTAGCCTAAATCAAACAATTGGGCTTGAAATTGAGTCTGAATTGGACTCAACCCGAACCGATTTGGGTCAGTTTGGGTCCGATTGGGTCCGATCAAGTTAATTTTGTGAAATTAAACTTGGATCGACGCCGAATCGCGTCGAATTTAGCTCGACAACGCTCGACGGGGTTTGATTGATTTTGATTTGATTTTAATTAAATTAAATTGATTTAATTTAATTAAAATTGAGGCTTAATTTGAGTCAATTTAGCCTCGACGACGATCAATTGAGCTGATCGAGAGCGATCGAGCTTTGTCGGGCTCAATCGGGGTCGAGTCGATGCGAAAATATTCGTCAACATAAGCCTCAAGGCGTTTTGAGGCGTAAGCCTCAAAATCAAAAGATTGCGTAAACATAAAATGATAAATCTTTTATATACTAATGAGTGAATAATGTAAAACATAAAACAACATAAGATATGAAGTGAAATCAAAATATCCTAATAATAAGACAACATGAAATATTGTTCAACTCAAAATTCTATATTTTCCAAATCTCAGTATTCTTTTCATTAAAATAAAATTTCAATTTCCAAAAATAAATAGCAATGACATATCACATAAGAACTCATAAGTCATTAGCACTGTCATCACTAAAGGTTTTCTTCATTTGAATAATCATTATGATGAACTGCTCTCTCCCCTTTCTCCTCTCCTATAGAGTCCAATGTCGGGCATTTACTTCAAGATTTATGTAAGTTTTAAAATATCTAGCATGAGGCGTAAGCCTCATGCCAGTGAGGCAAGGCGGGCCTCAACCAAGTTGAGGCGCAAGCCTCATAAAAAAACTCAAGGCGTAAGCATCGAGGCATTTTTTACTGGAATTGCGCAAAGGCGGGCTCAAGGTGAGCCTCATATTGCGCAATTTTAAACCATGTAATGATCCAAGGGATCTGTGAACTATTATCAATAAAAATTAAGCTGAATGACTTGGGAATAAAATAAGTACCATGCAGTTATACTATGACAACAAATCACTCATCATTATCGCACATAATTTAGTCCAATATGGCCAAATCAAACACATAAAAATAAATTGATACTTCATCAAAGAAAATTAGAAAGTGGGCTACCATATATCCAACATGTTCAAACACACAAGCAGCTGACTGACATCCTAACCAAAAGACAACGAAGCTCCACATTCTAGATTATTACCTCCAAGTTAAAACATTCGCGCTATAGCTTGAGGAATATTCGTATAAATAGTGGGCAACTTGGCAATCTGCGGAATTGTAAAGCAGGCTAGCTGCCCATCTTGCCATCCATCACTAGCAATCCATGGACATCAAGGGGGCAAAAGTCCTCTCAGATTTTTGAAGAAATAAATGCGTGCAAACTATAGAATATCTTCATTCATTTCCAATATAATTAATAGTTTTCATAAGTTGAAATTATCAATTTGATAGGAAATACTTGAGTTCGCAAGTAATCCAAGAGGAAATCCTTGAGTTCGCAAGCAACCTAGCAATAATTGGCCAAAACGGTGAGAAAAACAAGAAAATCAGGAGGAAATCGATTTAAGACGATAGATTGCAATAGTAGAAACAAAGCAAAACAAACTACAAGCAAGATACAATTGATCCTCAATTCGAGAGGAGGATCGTCTCTCCCAATCTCTAGATTTTGGATCTAAAGCCCAAGACACCAAGAAGACTCCAATGAAACAACTCTAATTCATGCCTCCCTAATCATAGCCTCTCATGTTCTTTAAATGCAATCATTAATAATTAAAAGCTTCCTAATATAAATTAATTTCAAATTGCCCTCCTCATGCTTAAACCGCCCTCTCTCTCTTATTGCCGCCCAAGGAGGAGGGACCCACATGCTTAGGCGGTGGGATTTAGAGGAGGCGGCTTAGCCCGCCTCGTGTAGGTCTGAACTGGCCCCTCCTAGGCCGATTTGGGCTGAACCGTAACACAACTGTAATCTAGAATTTTGTTGTCTAATAGAGGGGCAAAACTGCAAATAGAATACACACAAGATTTAACCATAAACACAAAATTCAAATCGTTTCCCTTCTCTTCAATTACCTTCAACACATATAGCTTCTTTTTAAATAAATCTTATTTATATGTCATTCATATATATAACAAATAAATTTCTGGTAGCATTGAAAAGTACCTGGTAGCAAAGTGTGGGAGCCATTATGAAGTATACCAGGCTTCTGAAGCTTACACCGTACGAGTAATCTAAGTTAGGGTGCTCAGATGATTTTTCACCCTAATGAAGAAAACAAGCATAAGTCGGAAACCATTACAAGCAGAAGTGCATGAACTCCTTCGCTGGAGTTAAAAAAATCAGGCAAAACTGCTTTGGGCTGCAGATACCGAAATTGTGTACCTGCTTTGACTTGGAGAGGTGAATAAGAAACGCTACGTAACTTTTCTAATATGAAAATTTGGCAAAATTAGCATTTATTGAACCATGTCTCATGAAACAGAATATTGTTGATATCACACATAAAATTAAGCTTAAGTTACTCAAAACTTTTGTCTAATCCGCATTTGCATGTTGGGTTTCTGCACGGTTAAAAAGCTTGACTTAAAAAGGTAACTAGATGTGGAATTCATATTCTACAACCGACAAAAGAAACATCAACTTGCACATTTAGCAGTCATTCTAGTTTTGAGTGACTCAGGGCAAGGATTGTCATGCATTGATTATTTTCTTTTCTTTTCTTTCCTTTTTATGAATTTGAATAACATCAATAGTTATATTAATCTTGGTAAATATACATAAGTTAGAGCCTGCCTGACTAATTGGCAGATTGTTTCTTTCAGTAGAATAAACTATACATACAATACAATAAGTTCCAATGTAAGATATGAGGAATTATTGCACCTGTTAACCGAAAGCCCTTTTAGCTGCCTGCAGGACATAAAGCACATGTACGATACAAATGTTTCATTCAGTTTCAAATTCAATTACGCAATCATTATGGGTAATCTACCTATATTTTCCATGGTATTTATAGAATATAGAGTCATTAGTAGCTATAAGCTCAAGTATATAACAATCATTTTGTTCTTCGTACAGAGATGTTAATTTTAAACTATTGCTTTGATTAATCAGATCCTCATATCTGTAAGAATGTGAATTACTTTTAAGTGTGAATATTCAAGAGAAACAGTGGAATAGAAACTACACAATTAGGTTACTCTATTTTGGATTAATCCATCTTCCAATCCTTTTCATTTCCTATTTCATTTTTGTTCTTGGTTTAAACTTAAGTACGATAATTTTTACAACAGCCCCTGCTCCAAAGCTTGATTAAGCAATGATTTTAGGGAAAAGCAACAACTAGACGTCCTAATATATAGTGGCTCCTACGTTTTTGAAGTTATAAGATTGTCAACCTTCGATTTCCTAATTATAAGTTTTCCTGGTAAATTTGTAATTAAATCTGAATTCTAGTTTCTTCCTCTTTTTCTAGGCTTTTGATCTTGTGTTCTCTTGCAAGAAATAGAAACAAAAAAGTGCTATGCTTCACTCTTTTGCAAGTCAATGAGCTCTTGCGGTTTATTTTTTGTATCCAACACTAGATCTCAATTCTTCTTTCATCAGATTTTTCTAAACATAGGTCCATGCAGAAATCATCGAATCTGCTTGAAGGCTACAAGTTTGAATGAGAGAAAGATGACATTGATTAACTTGAGTAATCAACTAAATTTGTTGCCCAAAAAAATTTCTCGTGAATAGTGAAATCACTCGTACCAAGGATTGGGCTCTTGAGGAGGCTGATAACTAAACAGGTTTTGAACTATTAATGAAACTTTACTCCTGCAATAAATAAAGCATATAAAGCATAGAAGAAAACATTTCTCCAATGCAGAAGATCTGGAAATGCAGGTTTCAAGCACAACGAGCAGCATAACATGTCAAATTACAAACTAAAGATATGCATAAAGCTGATGCAAAAATCAATTACCTTATCTTTTGAATGTAAATGCCTTAAATCATAATTAGTGTGTGCATAAGAAACGAGCTTTAACCAAAAAGTGCAAGCGCTTAACATTAATGTAAGACCCCATAAAATATCCAAATCACACCTGCCAAAACAGAATACTACTCATCAATTAGCTAAAGCAACTAATGCCAAACCTAAAATTAGATCATAGAAAACAACGCAAAAACATCTAATCAGCTAAATATTAGTAAGTGATAAAGGTTAATAAATAACGATTAACATGGTTAGCAAAGATCTTAAAATGAACAAAAACAAAGATCAGTTAGTCAAAAGCAGACAACAACAGGAAAGCTGATAGAAGACAGCCTAAGATCTGGGATTTCTAACATAAATCAACTATCAAATGCATGAAAGTATGTGGCATGAACACAAAACTTAGTATGCCACAAAACCTTAATTTTAACACTTATTTGTTACTTGTCATGAAAATTGAAATATGAAGAAAGTCAACACAATTAATAATTCAATAAATTTATACTAGAATTGATCCTAGAATTAGATCCACAAAAAATGATGCAGCTAATTGAGAATTATACACACGTAGAGCCTTAGATTGAGTACTAACATAAATCAATCACGCATTCAAACTAAAAACAAGTTTATAGAAGAAATAAAATAGAAAGAAAGAAATCACCAAACCAAGTTTCTTGTTTGTACAGAGATATAACCTCCCTGAAAATCTTCAAGTTTCTTACTTGATCAAAGTTTGACTACTAAATGTAGACGGAATATCATTTCCAACTAGAGCTTTATTCAAAACACAAAATAGACATTTCCAACTAGAGCTTTATTCAAAACACAAAATAGAATGCCCTCTCTACAAGCCAAAAAAATTCTAAAAATCTCATACAACAAAAAACAAAAAAAGATCTCTAAAGATGATCATAATGTCGCACAAGACCCACATAAACCTACTAAAAATAATCCACCAAAATCCCACTACATACCCAAAACTCCACTAGAACACGCATAAAAGCAACAGCCGTTGAAATCCCCCAACATAAGACTTCAATGCCCATTGGATTATATTAATTGCAAGATTACAAACCCATCTCATCACCAAAGCATAGAAGAATCCACTTAATGGGGAAGCCTCACGTGAATCCAGCCAAATTGAAAAAACTCAATTTTGACAAATTTTTTATTCGATGTTATTGTAATAGATTTGAGTGCAGCCTTCTATTTCCATTCATAATAATCACAAATTAATCTTCAATAATGTTTCAAGAAAAAAAATTAATATCATGTCTACAAATTCAACTGTGTTTTATGTTAACCTTAACGGAGGTGAAAAAATAAATTCAAAAGCATTGGTTGATGGTTCATGATATAAAGTCAAATAAGATACATTAAAAAATGAACTATTACCTGAATTTTTTGTCAGATTTCTAAATTGTAAGATTTCTGAATTCGTTATTGGTTAAATCCTATATATCTCTACTATACATCTTTAGTATATTTATAATAGTCATAATGAACATTAAGTTAACAAAAAATCTTTCATGCAAATCAAACAAACACCTAATGGATAATGCAATGTAATGTGATGCATGTAATGATAATGTTAACATACATATATGCTTCCTAATAAACACAATAACTAATTCATAGAGGAGTAAATGATGAAAAAAATTTAAAATTCATATTTATTAAGTTTAATAGAGTTCTCAAAATACAACAAACAAGCCACAAAAAAGCTGTTTTACATTCTTGTTAAAGTGATTAGAAATATATTTTATCGCAGTCAAGATAGTTTTTTAGTTTCTTAATATGGCATGTCAATCAGTATTTATTTGCTCCGATAGCTTTCAAATCTGGTTCATTTATGTATTATAAAGTAGTCACTTGGGTTATATTGGTAGTTATTTTAGTTCTCTTTTGAAGTTCTAATTTAAGCCAACCTTTTTTTTTTTTTGTGGAATCATGGAAGTCCTGCATTTAGCAAACTATACTTCTTTTTGCATTATATTTTCATAATAAAATTATTGCCTTCTGCTTCGACCATTAAGCAAAAGTAATAATGGAACAAATGCTCGCGTTGGAGGATTCCATCTTTGTACAACAAATAAAACTTATTCAAAGATATCAGATATTTTGTATGGATTATTTCAATATACCAGGTTCAGGAAGAGAAGTTCTTTCTTACATAAAGTTGAGCTGTCAAATGAGAAATACTTCAAGAGATGTGCTGCCAAAAAAATTGATTGGTTACAAATGGATTTTCAAACAGTAATTTGAATTTTCTAGTGGAAAATTAGCTGATTAGTGGTAAAACACCAGCCCAAAATTATGAGGAAAAGTCCATTGAAGATTTTCAGCTATTAATCTGCCTCAAAGTTTTGTCAGATTTCCTTTTATAATTTGTTGGAAACTAGTTATTGTTTAATATGTCAAAATTTGACATTTTGCGAATTTGTATTGCTGAAAATCATTTTGAACAAGGCTTTGTCATGAGGATGAATTTCTGCAAGAAATCTACCAAAAAAATGGATATCCAATGAAAAGCTAATTTTCTGCAGTGAACTCTCCACATCACTACGCTCAAACTATATTTTTTTAACATCATGCCATGCGCCAAGGGTTTACTCAACCACCTGAAGCCTGCATGAGAGTCACCCGTTCTTGAACTTTGCTAAACTATGACTTAAGCAATCAACACCTACAGGAGTCATGAACAACATAAACCACTTGATCCCAGTTAAATCATTGGCTCTGATACCACTTGTTAGAAGGATAGTGTACCAAAAGAGATTAAAGTTGCACTTAAATATATAAATTAAAGTTGCACTTAAATATATAAATGGTCAAAGCCCACTTTCAATAGATAAGAGCTTTATTTAATGAGAGAGGGCAAACCACTTGGTTTTCTACTCCAGAAAAAAAATTTTGCAACCATCCCATGTGAGACTAAACTCAATGCTCCGAAAATTCAGCTCTGGCCTCCGCCCGTTGTTGCTGCTTTTCTTTGGCGAGGTAGTTTTAACGGATTAAGTTCTGGGATAAATTTTGGAAGGCAGATGGGTTTGTAGATAAGACACTACCCAGAGATTTCGTTCTCATTTTGCGAGGAATTTATGATCTGAGTTCTAGTTTCCTATAGGCGCAAGCCTCTATAGTTAATTACCCCTCCCGATAATGAGAGAGACTTTTGATTAAGGCTACTCATGGATCAGATACGCAGTATCTGGCATAGTAACAGCAACGGGCATAGGTATTCGAAGAGTTTGAAGATTTGGAGTATTGATATTTAAAACAGAAATTTCACCATCTTCCACTTAAAGAGGATGGTGGGGGAATGGATGATGGACCCGATCAAGATCCCATGGTTTCATCATCCCGGGCCATCGTGGTCCCTAGTTTGCTTAGTCAGAGGAGGTAGTCGACCCAACCTGACAGAAGGATCCCTGTCGACGGTCACGGGTTGCTTCGTCCAAGGTGATATTGTAGACCTGGGTTGGATCTTTATCTAAGGGGACAAATTTGAATCCACCTTAGCTGAAAGAGGGCTTTGTGCCCTATCGATCATATCATATTGATTCATATCTCAAGGATTTGATGCCACTAAGGAACGTACTGGCTCTGGCCATAACCGATATTTCGTGGTGCCATTTGGAGGCAAAACCACTCGGTTCCGAGGGCCCCGAGTCAAAACCATTTATTCTGCGATGTCATTTGGCGGCAAAACCGCCGGTTAAAGGACACGTACCACGTCCTTACTAACAGGAGATTGTTTGAGAATGGATCCTAGTGATATTTTCGACTAGGCATTAGCTCTTTGTGAACTGAAGTAATTTTTTAAATTTGTCCACCTCGATAAACTGTTGCGGAGGGTGGATGGATTTTGCTTTAAGTATTTGATGGATTCAGTTTCAATTTTAAATATTTTTGGATTTCTGGATTTTGGATGATCTTTGGAATTTTGGATTTTCAGTTACTTAGAGTGGCACTTTGAAATATTTGAAATGGACCACTCCGGTTAAAATCTTCATTCAACACGGCCATCATCAGGATGTTTGGGGTTATTACCATTTAAAGATTGAACCTTGTCGACCCTATCAGCTCGCCGATACGGGATCGGGTTTCGTAGACTTTTTGTCGTTGTTAGTGAATTCTCATTGTTATAGGCCTTGAAGCCCTAATATGAATGTATTAAAACAAGTATTTCGATCACCGTAACCATATATTTATTTGATGATTCGAACCCTGTCGACTCCTATTGATCCACATAGAAGAATCGGGTTCGAACTTGAATTCACTTATTGACCCGCGTAGCATCCATAGACGTCACATGTATACTTATAACACGCTCGTCGGGGCCCATGCGGGTGTATGGGGGGCATTTTATAATTATTTATTGAACCTTGTTGACTTTTATCTACTGTTTAAGAGGATTGGGTTCAAATTTATTGACCCGCATAGCATCCCTAGACGTCACGTATATATTCAAGACATGCTCGTCGGGGCCAATACGGGTGTTTGGGGGCATTTTATAATTATTTGTTAAACCTTGACGACTCCTATCTACCTGCTTAGGAGGATCGGGTTCAACTTTATTGACCCGCGCAGCATCCATAGGCGTCACGTGTATACCCAAGACACGCTCGCCGGGTCCCTTGCAGGTGTATGATTTGGTCGATGAATCTTTCTTATAAAGGGCCTTGAAGGCCTAACATGAATGTATTAAATAAATATTCCGATCGACCTCGTGACCGCATATTTATTTAATGGTTCGAACAGTGTCGAGAAGGATCGGGTTCGAACTTAGATTCATCATTTAGCCCACGCAGCTTCCTTATACGTCACGTGAGTATCGAAAACATGTTCGTCGGGGCCCATGCGGGTTTATAATTACACTTACCCCTTGTGTACCTATGTATATATAAACTATAATGCATGTGTGGTGATACTTTGAAAATATTTGTAAACGCCTTCTGTTTGCTTGCCTGAATGTTGCGGATCTAATGGCATGGCGTAGTAGCTTATAGATTGAGTTGTTCACTGCCTTGTACAGGTGGAGTGTCGTGCACTACTTGCATGATTTACGCATGTAGATTGTAGTGCACTAACTAATCTCCTGCTTTG